TTATGAACGATTTGTGTGAAAAGTGGTACAGAGTTGTAAATATGGGGCAATCACCATGGACACCAGCAGACCCAGATTAAACTTTTAATTTTCTCATAACCTCCCACAAGGCCACTGCTGTGCGAATAATATGGAAGCATCATGTAAGCAATACACATCTGGAAAATAGTGCACTTAATGTTTGTTATTTAACAAAAAAAAAATTTTTTTGAAAATTTCCAAACTTTGCCCATCAAGGCATACCATTTGAAAAGGTTGACAACCCAGTGTATTCAAAATGGGATATGGTCAGTCTTTTTTAGTAGCCACTTAGACAGAAACACTTGCCAAATTTAGCGTTCATTTTTGTTTTTCTGCATTTTTCACAAATAGACTGCCCTTTCAACGATGATATCATCAGCATTATTTGTTTTATTGCTGTAGAACACTCATATTTGTGTTCAGTAATGTCTCACAAGTACCTCCCATGTCCAGGTTTTAAGGTGTTTTGGAAAGTTACAGGGTCAAATATAAGATTTTGCACATTGAAAAGTGCTAGATTGGTTATGTATGTTACATTTGAGACCGTATGGTAGCTCAGGAATGAGAATTACCACTACTATGGCATACCATATAAAAAGTAGACAATCCAGGGCATTTTGAATGGGGTATGTCCAGTCATTTTTAGTAGTTACATAGTCACAAACATTGGCCAAAATTAGCATTCATATTTGTTTTTTGCATTTTTCACACAAAAATTGCACTTTTGCTGATCATAAAATCATTGTGATACATTGTACAGTTTTGAAACACTAATATATGTGTTCAGAGAAGTCTCCCGAGTACAACAGTACCCCCCATTGTAACAAACCTCCTGTATCCCAAGTGAGACTTTTGCTGCAAGTTTTGTGTGATTAGAGTGCTCTAGCTGTTGCATACCCAAACATCAGTCAAGACTTGATGAAGGGTACAAAAGGAATGTTTTATTATGGCCAAGTGGCCTGCTTATATACATAGACCCCCAGAATGGTGTCTCCAGCAAAAATATAGGTAATCCCGCCCAGGTGTCTCTGTGTCTGGGAGATAAGTGAGTTTGCTTTGCTTAAACTAATTATCTCCCAGGCACCAGAGGTACCGTGCAGAAAACATAAAACAACCCAAAACACATACAATATTGTTAGGAACCCCCATAAGTCTCATATCCCCAGATAGCCAAGATCTGAGTGCCCAAGTTGTCCAAATAGCGCTCAGATCCCGATAGTACACCTGAATCGCCACCGGGGTAAAGTTCCATCTTCGGTGGTTCCTATATAAAATAAAAAGAAGGGTCCCCCTAGCTCGTAGGGAGCGAATGTTTCCCATGTTCGGTAGTGTCTTTTCACCGAACAGAGCTCTCCTGGCTTTTCTGGATGAGAAGCAGGCGACGGTACAAAGTTCCCGGGATTCGTGAGTTAAGGTATCCGTTCTAGAGTTCCAGACACTCAACAACCTTGTACCGCTGCCTGCGTTCGGGAGACAAAATGGCCAGAGAGAGCACTTAAGTGTGGTTTCTTTGAAGATAATGAGCCAGGTGGTGGTCAGTGTTCGGTAGGTATAAGTACCGAACCAAGTGGAAAACAACTTGGGCCTAGTAACAATACACATAGTTCCAGATCAGGAAACCCATCGACAGGTTTTATGGTGTTTTGAAAAGTTACAGGGTTAGGTATGGGGACTTGAAAATTAAATTCTCTAGACTTTCTGCCTGGGTTGTCAGATATGTCACTCATATCATAATGAATAAAATCATATAATTATGTAAAATATTACATAAATATACACGTAGCATTTAAATAGATATAAATATATATCTATTTAAATGCTACATGTATATTTACGCAATTTATGTAATTATATGAATTTATGTATATAATTTTTTCAATTATTTGTATTTATTTATATAGCTATATATAATTTCATTATAAGTATATTTTGATACACCTATACATATATATATATATATATATATATATATATATATATATTAATATCAAAATACAGTTACCATGCAGATCCTTTCATCAGGGCTATGTTTGCTCTATTTTGCGCTCCAACTTCAAGAATATCTGCAACTGGTTTTATATCTGAAACTTTTAAGTTGTCCAATGGGACCAGGCAGGTTTGTCCATTCTCACCACTCCTCTTTGTGTTGGCAATGGAACCCCTGGCTGCAATGATTCAACAGTGTGCAGATATAGAGGACATTGCGGTAGGGGACAGGGTGCATAAAAATTGGCCTCTTTGCAGATGACATTATGCTTTCATTAAAAAATCCTATGACTTCAGTCGATTCCCTAATGTTCATCTTGCGTGAATTTGGCAAAATATCACATTACAAATTGAATACTAACAAAACTCAGGCTCTTTCTTTCAACAGTCCGCAGTATGATTTAAATGAAACAGAAATTTGACTTTGACAGGAGGGACTCCTATATATCCTATTTGGGCATTAACCTGTGCAAAAACCTGTCAAAAATGCATATCTTTAACCTGACTAAAGTCTGGATCAAAATTAGGGATGACCTTGAGAGCTGGTGTAGTCTTGAAATCTCATGGTTAGGTAGGATTAATTCGGTCAAAATGTCTCTCCTTCCAAAAATGTTATTTTTTATCAGAGCAATCCCTCTCACCACACCTTTATCTTTTTTTAGAAGGGTTTATTCTGCCCTTCTGACATTCATATGGAATAAAAAAACATGCAGAATCATAATGAGCATAACGCAGAAACTAAGGGTTAGTTGAGGTATGGGTTTGCCGAATTGTATTCATTACTATTGGGCAACTAACGCTGCTAGGGCGATTAAATTTAACTTGGATCATGGACTCCCTCGTTGGCTTGAGATGGAGGCAGATAGGATTTTTCCTTGTTCTATTAAAAATGTTTTATGGCTGTCTTCTTCTCAACGACCTTGTGTGGCAGATATGTTTCCTTCTACCAAAACAACTATTAAGGCATGGGACATTTTGTATAAATTGATTCATCCTTCTGCTGTCTGGTCTCGCACTACCCCTTTGCCGGTGCTGCCATCGTTTTTACCTGAACTGAACATAGAATATTGGAATTCACATTCCATCATGCACATAAACGTTTGAATTTTTTAGCAATCATTTTTTGTAATTTGTTCAGTTGAAGAAAACATTTGATTTAGATGATACTGACACTCATATTTTTGATGAAATGGTAAAACTGTTGCATGAACATTTTAACGTTTCTGGCCAGGATTCAGACTTAAAACAATTGGCAATGTCAGAGTTAGAAAAAATGTATTTGTCCAATCCTGGTCAGAGACATACCATCTCCTTATGCTATACCTATTTTGCTGGCAATTTAGGCACTAAATTGGATTACATGCTGAAGTGGGAGAGTGAGCTGGGTAGGGAATTTGAAGTTGAAGACTGGCACACCTCTTTACTAACACTGAAAGGCATTATTACACAATGTACATCACATATAGAAACATATTACAAACTAATATACAGATGGTACCTTACACCTTCTTGCCTGTTTAAATTAAATTAAATTGACAAACACTAATTTATGTTGGAGAGGTTGTGGGAAGAGGTTGTATATCACATCTTCTGGACATGTCCTAAGATAACTCCATTCTGGAATGAGATTCATAAACTCATCAAATCCTTTATAAGCTTTCCAGTTGAAATATCCCCACATCTTTGTTTATTTATAAATTTACCAGAAAATATATCCAAAAGTCAAAGAGTAATGATGGGTCATCTGCTTATTTCTGCTACTTCCACAATCCCACGACACTGGAAATCATCAACTGTACCTTCAGTTAGCAAGGTATTACAGCTCCTTTTTGAAAACAAACGTTGTGAGCTAGTTCCAAGATTGCCATTGGATGCAAATGCCACTTTAAAACTCCATTGGATGATTTGGGAAGAAGATATTAGGCGTCAATATCATATTTAGTTATTTCCCCCCAGCCGGTCACCAGACTTTTTTTTGTCAATCTCTTTTTATTGTCAATCCACAATTAAGACATGCATTGCAAAAGAATAATAAACAGTTGTGAGGCAAGGCAATTAAAACATGGTATTTAAAACAATATTGCTATTCTAGGATTGATTGTTTTTGGTTATAATAGTATGTGTCACAGGTCATACTTGAACTAATCCCTCGGTACCCCCATAGGAGATCTGCAGCTAGCTCTAAAGTGGCGTGTGGATAGGTAATCTATATGCCTCCATGATCACGGGTTGCTACTCAGTTTGTCAAGGAGCGGAGGCTATCAGCCATGTTGCAAGTTGTGGAAAAGTGGCTTGAAGCCATGATAAGTTGGTGTGAGGTGGGGTGGAAAGATAAGTGGTGAGGGGCACTGAGACCCTTTTGTCAGCGGAAGGTGAATGCGTTTGCAGCGTATGCGCTTATTCTCTGCATAAGCTAATATAACAGCATTAAGTTAACAGACATAAAACATTGCTAACTCTCTGTGCCTAAAGTAGACAAACTGCGCAATACCATTAAGTAATTCCAGCGATCCCCTGGGTCGCTGTGCTGCTGCATTGGGAGGCACACAAATGGTCTTCTGCACTAGGGATACTGGAGGCTGCTCTCTTGTATTAATGGGCGGCAGCCCGAGTTGCTGAAAGATGCTGGCCACTTCTGAAGCCTCTATGACTTTTAGAGTCCCGGACTCTCTTGGTATTAGTAGGCACCATGGTGCACCCCATTTATAAGGTATCTTCTGTTTCTGTAAGTCAGTGGTCAGCACTGGCAGGGACCTGCGCCAGTCCATGGTGGCCCTGGAGACGTCAGGATAAAACCTGTAAGGAATGTTCCTCAAAGTGATAGGGAGAAGCGTTGCGCACCGGGGACTGGAAGGCTTGCCTGTCCGGGCTGTTCTGAAAGTGGATGATCACATCTCTACTGGACCATGATGTTGAACTTGTGGCGGTGATAGCCTGTAGCAGCCATCTAGGGTCATAACCTTGGTTTGTTTAGGGGAGAATAGGCCAGTAAGTTATATCCTTATTAGGTGTGGAATCTCAGTTAGGGGGATGCTGCCAGGTAGGCCGCTTAATTTCACATTCTTCCAGCGTCTACGGTCTTCCATTACCGCCATGTGGTGCTGGGATTGGGTAATTTCTTGCCTGAGCGTTGCTATCTCTGTTTCCAGGCTAGCAATGCGCACCTCGTGAGCGGCGGAGGTGACCTCGGTGTCATGGAGGCGTACAGACACCCCATTGATTTCTTTCTTGAAGGCGGCTATGCTAGCCGTAATACTTTGGCAGAGTTCATGGAAGTAGGCTTTCAGCATTGCTTCTGTGACCAGAGGGCTTACTCTCTGCATGGGAGGCTGTTCTGCTCTCCTCTTCGTGACTGGTTGTTCAGAGCCCCTTAGGTTGGTCAGGGAGTCCTCGCTGGTCAAGCAGGAGGGACCATCCGAGAGCGGCCTCATGTGATCTTGCGGCCTCCACAACAGTTCGCTGATATCCGCTGTAAACTGGATTTTTTAACAGCCGCTGTTTTTTGCTTTTGCGCCCCATATAGTAGGTGGAGTAGGATATGCGGAAGGAAGTCGGTTGCCGTAAGTAAGCGGGTTGTTTTGCCATTTTTAGCTTCAAATATCTCGGATCCCCCCCCATTCGGTATGTCTGCTGGCACCGCCCCTCTATTTACAATAGTTATTCAGGCACTTAAGAACACCCAGTGGGTAGAATGTGGCAGCAACAAATGAACCATATTTGTATTGTTACTTCACTTTGCGCTGCATTATGTTTACTAAATAAGGCACTACTAATGGTAAAGTTATACTTATTGTACAATTTCTTTAAATTATTTTTTATTTTTCATTTTTAAATAGTATTGGATGATTAATAGTACTTGTATAATTACCCTTTTTCCTTGTTTGTTTGATGTTATTATTATCATTATTATTGTTTGGTTTATTATCATATTTAAAACTTTCAATAAAACATTTGAAAAGAAAAAAAAATACAGTTACAATGGAATTGCATATATATATATATATATATATATATATATATATATATTATTTTTTTTATTAATTTTTTATTATTTTTTATTTAAATCGTTATTTATGTATTCATTACTTATATTATATGTATACATTCAATATATATAACTACTGTAGATATTATATATATATATATATATATATATATATAAAATACAAAATACCCCTGCACTCCAACTAGAGAAATAAAAATAGTACCTGGTGCTCTGGTGGCTTAATCATAAACAAAGTGAAAATACCGGCACTCAAGGTTTTCCAGAAGATAACTTCTCCATTAATTGCGGGAAAAAAATCGACGTTTCAGCTCCACTGATGAAAGCTTATCGAAGTCTCAAAGTACATGTTTTTGTATACTGTATCAATAGTGAGCTGTTACATATGCAAGGCCTTGGTTCCAGGCATGCCAGATTCCGCATGGGCATTCGACCTCATGCATAGACTTCCGCGCCCGACCCGCTTCACAGGCGAGGTTACTAAGGATGTCATAGTCAAATTTCATTACTTTGCACATAAGGACACACTACTGGCAGGAGCAAGAAGATCTCCCATGCTCCCGGACCTCCAACTACGCATTGTTCTATTTGCGGTTTTATCAGCAGCCACAATGGCAAGACGCAAGGAGTTCATACCTGTCACGAAGACACTACGCACAAATAATGTGTCCTACAGATGGGGTTACCCAATTAAACTACTAATCTGGAAACAAGGCAAGACCCATGTCGTGAGCGATCCGGCAGGAGTCATGAAATCACTCATCGAATGGGGTATGTGGAACAACGCTGATGCCCACCAAGAGGGATCAGCAAAGGCTTCACCGAGGAGAGTCCCAGCAGAATGGCAGATGGTGGGAACACCAACTAAGGAGACATGAACTCTGGGTGCTATAACATCATCAGCACAGCTGTGATGGTCACTTTGGGTCTAATCCTTCTAGCTAAGTGTTATGCCTTATTCACATACTTACTGTTTCATTCATGCCATTATTTTCTTTCATTATACGCTTTACATATATGTACATACCATGTTAAACAGAACTGTAGCGATGCACTGGCACAATTTTATGCAAACTGTATGTCAGTCTTAAAGCAAAACCCCCTAGGCGCAGAGTTGCACTCAGGTGCTATATCTCCATTAGCACAGCCGAGAGGGTCACTTTGGGAGTAATCCCTCTAGATAAGTGTATGCCTTACGCATTTACTTTACTGTTATTACGATCACAAGATTTACTTATGTATACGCAATACCGAACTGACACAACTCTATGCAAATTGTATGCTAGCTTCCAGTGAATCCCTCCAGTCGCAGAGTGCACATGGATGCCATACTTCCATTAGCACAGTCGTAATGTCGTGTTGAGAGCACTCCCTCTAGATAATTGTGTTGTCTTACTCAGAAACTGTATTGTCCTTATATATGCCATTACTTTCTTTAAACCTTGGGCTCTCCATATATGCACGCATTTTGGTACACTGTACTATGTTAATGCATTGACATAAATGTATGCAATTGGTATGTTGCTCCAAGTGCAAAACCCCCTGCTGGTTAGTTGCACCTCAGTTCATTAACGGTGTGCACCAAGAGACAGCAATAATTAAAAAAGACAAAATAGCGCTTAAACTCATAATTTATGTTGAACCTTAGTTAATTTAACAGTAGATCTTACATATCGGGTTTTGTCAGAGTCTTACACTCCCCTCCTGGGCCATCTCTCTGAGATCACTTTTCTGGTGATCTTCACATGATCCATGTTGTCTCTCCCCATTAATGGAGACTTGGGTTAATACTTTAGTTTCATTTATCTTTCTTCTTTTTTTTTTTTCTAAATTTAATTTGGATTACTTTGTGTTGCTGGCCTATAACGATAAACAACATCCCAACCAAGAAGCTTTATGCCGTTCTTAATGCCTACTGGCTATTCATATATGCAAATTTACTACAGGTCTATGTAAGCTATATTCATATAGGAAATATGCATCACTGCCTGCCCAGGGTGAACCAGTTATCTCATCCCTCACGAGGGAATGCTACCATCAGGGCCGCCCTCAGGGCATGACAACCGTGACAATTGTCACGGGCCCGGTGGCCCGGGCCCCCACGTGGATCAGCGGAACTGCCGCCGGTGCATCTGCACCGGGGCCCACACGCTGATGGGGCCCATCAGGTGGCCCAATCGTTTAGGGCCACCCAATGGGCCCTATTATCTTCAGGGGCCCGATCAGCGCTGTGATAGCGCAACCGGGCCCCTTTAAAAAAAAAAATGCAGCCAGAAGCAAGTGCTGCTGGGAGGAAGTGATGTCCGGTGTATGTGTGTTTGCCAGTGTATGTATGCCAGTGTATGTATGTGTGTATACCAATGTATGTATATGTGTATGCCAGTGTATGTATGCCAGTGTATGTATGTGTGTATGCCAGTGTGTGTATGTATGCCAGTGTGTGTATGTATGCCAGTGTATGTGTGTGTGTATGCCAGTGTATGTGTGTATGTATGCCAGTTTATGTATGTGTGTATGCCAGTGTATGTGTGCCAGTGTGTGTATGCCAGTGTGTGTATGCCAGTGTATGTATGTGTGTAGGCCAGTGTATGTATGCCAGTGTGTGTATGTATGCCAGTGTATGTATGCCAGTGTGTGTGTATGTATGCGAGTGTATGTATGCCAGTGTATGTATGCCAGTGTGTGTGTGTGTATGCCAGTGTGTGTGTATGCCAATGTGTGTGTGTATGTATGCCAGTGTATGTGTGTATGTATGCCAGTGTGTGTGTGTATGCCAGTGTATGTGTGTATGCCAGTGTATGGATGCCAGTGTATGTGTGTATGTATGCATGCCAGTGTATGTGTGTATGTATGCCAGTGCATGTGTGTATGCCAGTGTATGTATGCCAGTGTATGTGTGTATGTATGCCCATGTATGCCAGTGTATGTGTGTATGCCAGTGTATGTGTGTATGCCAGTGCATGTATGCCAGTGTATGTGTGTATGTTTGCCAGTGTATGCGTGCATGTATGCCAGTGTGTGTATGTATGCCAGTGTGTGTATGTATGCCAGTGTATGTGTGTGTGTATGCCAGTGTATGTGTGCCAGTGTATGTATGTGTGTATACCAATGTATGTATATGTGTATGCCAGTGTATGTATGCCAGTGTATGTATGTGTGTATGCCAGTGTGTGTATGTATGCCAGTGTGTGTATGTATGCCAGTGTATGTGTGTGTATGCCAGTGTATGTGTGTATGTATGCCAGTTTATGTATGTGTGTATGCCAGTGTATGTGTGCCAGTGTGTGTATGCCAGTGTGTGTATGCCAGTGTATGTATGTGTGTAGGCCAGTGTATGTATGCCAGTGTGTGTATGTATGCCAGTGTATGTATGCCAGTGTGTGTGTATGTATGCGAGTGTATGTATGCCAGTGTATGTATGCCAGTGTGTGTGTGTGTATGCCAGTGTGTGTGTATGCCAATGTGTGTGTGTATGTATGCCAGTGTATGTGTGTATGTATGCCAGTGTGTGTGTGTATGCCAGTGTATGTGTGTATGCCAGTGTATGGATGCCAGTGTATGTGTGTATGTATGCATGCCAGTGTATGTGTGTATGTATGCCAGTGCATGTGTGTATGCCAGTGTATGTATGCCAGTGTATGTGTGTATGTATGCCCATGTATGCCAGTGTATGTGTGTATGACAGTGTATGTGTGTATGCCAGTGCATGTATGCCAGTGTATGTGTGTATGTATGCCAGTGTATGCGTGTATGTATGCCAGTGCCTGTATGCCAGTGTGTGTCTGTATGCATGCCTGTGTGTGTCTGTACGCCTGTCAGTATGTATGTATATATCAGTATGCAGTATGTGTATGTATGTTTGTCAGTATGTATGTCTGCATGTATATGTGTGTGTGTGTGTCAGTATCTCCCTATGAATGTGTGTATGTCTGTTTCAGTATTTGTATCTGTTAGTGTGTGTGTATTCCTGTGGGCGGGATTTGGAGGTGGGCTTGAAGGGGGGCCCAGACCTTGAGCTGTGTAAGGGGCCCCAAAATTTATGATGGCGGCCCTGGCTACCATATTACACCGCCTATTGCTAATCCACGTTCCATTGAAGATTTTAAGCAACCCTCACGATGTCTAATTGTATGAAAATCCTCTCCCTTAACATTAACGGACTTAACAGCCCTTACAAAAGATGACTAATAATTCACTGATCAGGCAGGTAGGCTCCTGATTCTGGTAGGTGAGTTAAAATAACTCAAATAACTGAGTCAAATAACTGTTGCTTATCATTATGCACCCAATGAGGCTCAATTTTCCTTCCTCAATAAAGCAATTAGAAATATATCATCAATTAAACAAGGCCATATGATAGTTTGCGGGGACTACAACTGCACGTTAGACCCATAGCTTGACATACAACGCACGCAGGGCAAGTTACCT